GCAACAGGCTGGCAGGCACCCACATAATTTGACTCACACGAGCAGTGGGCTTGTGCACACGCACATGCGCAGCTCAACTTGCAGTCAAACTGTATGTGCATGTGCACCGGCTTGCTGCTCGCGCAGCCTGGTTCCATCTTCCCCACCTCAGTCAGGCTGCCAAGCCACAAAGGTTGGGGACCACTGATCTAGATAGCCAGGAGCAAGAGGATTGCATTTCCCAATCTCAGTCTCTCTAAAAGCCATCCACAAACACCATAATGCAGTTTCTATGCTGTGTCCTAGCCTAATCCCTGATTTGCAGTACTCCAAATGATCTGCTCCCTTGTGGAGCCCTGAATGGTTGTTGGACTACTATTTTCTGCATAACCTTTCCAAAAATAGGAAAATAGTATATTTGGAATATGCATATAGGAGAATATGCACAGAGGTCAGAGAAGGTCTCCGTATTTAAAGTGCAATGTCTTGAATAAGGCCCTCAGATTAGAAGCAAATATCTTCCAGTGAAGACATTAGTGAAGGATTACTGCACCATAACAGGTGGGAAGAAGAAAGGATCCTGCCATGAAAAAAAGAGTCGGCCATGGCTCTGCAGCTGATAGGGAAGAGGTTGGCCTGTACTTTACCCTCTGCAGTTATTTGTACAAATTCCATAGTCACATCCTGACCATGAGAACCGAAAATTGAGCTACTAGAGGGGTAAATCAAACCATAACTATTTCCATAGAATCAGCTTAGTATGAAACTCTAGCAACACCAAAGGACGGGGGTTGTTCCACTTATTTCCTGTTTCTTCAAGCAGAACATTTGATCACCGTGAAAGCTGAGACAACCAGAAGGCAGCTGTTACAAGCTGTAGGGAAAGAGAAGTGGGGGAATTGCAGCCTGACAAACATTATCTACCCATGCCCTACTCCAAAAAGAACTATTCCATGGATTGCCCAATAAGGGCAAAACAAAAGGTTTTATGGAGAAAACAGCACATTTTAAATTCCAGATGTTGTTTCCAAATGGAAGATATTCCATCAGTCTTAACTCAAATACTAAAATCTGTGATCACTAATACAAAATTTGATACCTCAACGTTTCTAGCCTTTAAAAAAAGACCTCAATTCGATATAATACGAATGAGATTATAATTTGCTTTTATAGCACTTTTAATAGGCATAGAATAAACTAACACATTCATATTTCAAACAGACTTTTCTAATGTTTCTACCTTTAACTCTGACACCCTTAAATCCCTCACATTAAAATTACATTAAACATTAAATACCCATTAATATCCATTAAATAGCTTTAAATACACAAACACATTAAAATAATGCATTATTTAAAGTTATTATAAATTAGAAGCCAGTTTTTTAAAATATTACCACTATGCATTTAAAAATCACTTCAAATCTAATACTCGTAATTTAAAATGCACGGCAGGCTATCTGAATATAGCAAACTAAATTCTAAACTACATTAAACTTTAATTCTAATGTGGTGATACTATGAACATGCACACACTGTTTACAAAGAACTAGAACTGCAGAAAAGCACATACACACAGGATGAAATAGCACACTGTTCTGATCTATGAATGAATAAAGAACAATGCTGCTAGGACATAAACTATCATTTACAAACAAAGTGTCCAAGTTGACCCAACACATTAAGCCAGAAGCAAGTAAACTACTTTATGACATAAAGGACCAGTTTTGGAGAGACTTTCACAAACACCCTTTTAGCACAAGATACTGTAAGTCAGAAATATCATCTTACATTATAAATAGGAGGTAAAGTTGGGAGATGATGACTTGTCTAAAACTATCTGCCAAGATATCAACAAGCAAGATTAGGGGGCTGGAGTCTAAAACATATGAAGGATGGTTATGGGAATTGGGACCGTCTAGTATAGACAGAAGGACTAGGGGTGACATGATAGCAGTGTTTTGCAATATTTGAGGGGCTGCCAAAGCACCAGAAGTCAAAACAAGAAACAATGGATGGAAACTAATCAAAGAGAGAAGCAACCTAGAAATAAGGAGAAATTTCCTAATGGTGAGAAACAGTTAACCAGTGCCTACAGAAGCTGTGGGTGCTCCATCACTGGAGGCGTTCAAGAACAGTTTGGATAACTGTTTGTCTGAAATGGTATAGGTTTTCCTGCTTGAGCAGGAGGTTGGAGTAGAAGACATCCAAAGTCCCTTACAACTGTTATTCTGATTCCTAGATCTTAAACATGACTAGCATTCAAATGTAAATTCATGGCAGCACAAACATTTGAACACCTGTAATATTTTTCTCTCTTCAGAGACCTAGTTTATGTTCCAGATTACTCAAGGTTTGAGAACCAATAGTCTGATTACTGGTTTGCACATTCAATCTTGGCTTCCGTACACCGTACAAACCAGCACAAACTGATGCAAGTTTCATTTCTAGAATCACTCATATTTGGTGCCCTGGGAACTTGGCAACAGACTTACTCCTTTGTGCAAAAGGCAACTGTGTTGTTTGGGAAGAAGGTATGACTTAGAGGTAAAGGTCTTGTAAAGGTCTGAAGCTCAGCCCTCTTGTGTTCGTAATCCTTGAACAAGTAGCTTCAAAAATGCAAGCTTTGTCATACCACCCATCATGGGAATGCTGAACTAATTTCTTCTACCACAGCAGTTTATATTTCCATCACCTGTTGAATATCTACATCATTGAGTAAATGAGTTGTAGCCAGGATGCCAGACTACTAACCAAATAAAGAGAAAGCATTCCTCCATTGGAATATGTTGCCTTCTCATGCCTTTCAACGAAAAGTGCCACACCAAACAACATATGTTTCATCCAGCTGGCTTGCACAATCATCCTGAATGAAGATCTTCCAGCAGCTCAAAAGAGGGATTCAGCCCCTTTGGTCAGCTGCTTATTTTTCATGATTCTAATTGAAGTTGACAAGGGATCGTGTTTTAATAACCTTTCCCTAGTGTATCTATCTCCAGGACTACAGAAACTGCAATGAAGAGATTATAAGCAAAAGGAAAGGAATTCAGAGACAGAAGAAGCAGTCCAGTTACAATTGTATTTGGGGGGGGGGGGGGAACCTAGTATCAAAATAATGTAGTTATGTAATTTAATGATTCTCAAATCAGAATAGCCCATTCAGGACTGTATGAAAACCATTATGGATCCCCCCCCAAAAAAGAGAAACAGTCATTGCCTTCAGCATCATGTGCAATACAAAATTAGCATCATCATAATTCATAGTTTGCCCAATTGAATATCACAAAACAAAAAAGCTAAAAGTTAAAGTATTTAACAAATGCATTTCAAACCTCCAATTTCATTTTATTTTACTATTTATTTTATTTTTTTATAATTTATTTTATTTTACTATAACTCCAGTCTCAGTTTGTTGAAACCCCATGGTTTCTTGTGAGAAATGACTGAAATACTACAGCAGTACAACAATTTTTCCAAGTAATTATCTCCAATCAGTTTTAAGGACAATATACCATCAGATTAATTTCTCAACAAGATTTCCACATGAAGCTGTTTTTTTCTAAAATGTGAAATTAAATCTACTATAAGCACTTATTGAAATTAGTATAGCTCAGAAACAAACAATACTATTCCAACAACCTTGGAACAGAGTTTCAATTCCTCTTATATCAGACGATAGGATTTCAGACATTTGACGGGAGAAAGCCTTTGGTCTAAGATCTTGGATAGATGCCAACCAAATACTAGACTGGATAGGCAATGGTCTAAATCAGGGTGTCAAACCTAATTTCACTGAGGGCCGCATCATGGCTGTGGTTGACCTCGGGGGGGCTGGGCAGTGTGTGTGTGTGACCTCGGGGGGGCTGGGTGGGTGTGGCCAGCTGGCATGTTTTCTCTTCTCACTGGGTCGGCTGGGCCGAAGCCACGCTGGCCCGATCTTTCCTCTTCACATTGGGTAGATCAGGATGGCCCCGGGGGCCGGATCT